TTCAAAAATACCTTTTTTATAAAAGCACAAAATCCAGAAGTGGTAGCCAAATGAAAAACATACTCAAATATATTCTCTTCTTTAAATGGAATGATCAGTTTAACCATTCCTACTTTACCTTGCAGTTGAAATAGTATATGATTCTATTTGCTTCTACTAATCTTTGTAAACTGTCACCATTTCTATTAACAAAGTTAACTGCATACTTTCTCAAATTCTTTGACCTTGCTGGAAAAAGTACTTTTTTTCCCACCATCACCCCCCCCCCCCGTTTTTTTAAAAAGAAAAATGCTAAACATTCTTTAAGTATTTTTCTAAAATCAAAACTTTCTAATACATTTTTTCTTTAGCTTCTTAACACCCAGGCTTTGAATTTCAATATTGAATTTAGCTCCGACCCTCCAAACTATCCTTATAGAATAATATCTTTTTTTCCTTCCTTTTATAAACATCCATTTCGGACAAATGGCTATCCAGTCTCTTCTTAAAAACTTCCAATGTTGGAGCATTCACCACTTCTAAAGGCAGGTTGTTCCACTGATTAATTGTTCTAACTGTCAGGAAGTTTCTCCTTAGTTCTACATTGATTCTCTCCTTGATTAGTTTCTAGCCTTTGCTTCTTCCTGCCTTCAGGCACTTTGGAAAATAGCTTGGCTCCCTCTTCTTTGTGGCAGCCCCTGAGATATTGGAATACTGCTATCATGTCCCTCCTCGTCCTTCTCTTCATTAAACTAGACATACCCATTTAACTCTTCATTAAACTAGACACATTCAGGGATGCATTGGTGTTTTGAATTTTTTGCTGAAGGGATAATTATACTAGATATCATGCATTTATTTTATTTGCTATACATTTACCTTGTAACTGCTGATGCTGCAGAATTTTCAAAATAATTTCACTTGTGATAAACATAAATACCACAGTAAGTTCTAAACTATGAAGTAAATGGTGACTGGTGGCCAAATGTTGCCAAACCAGTTTTGGTTAATTGATTCAGCAGTCAAATGGTTCAGCAATCAAATGATTGATTGATTGATTGATTGATTGATTATGGAATCAATTAAATGGATTCAAGCAAGCAAATAAAGAGAAATAATATGGGAATATTTTGGTCAGGACACAATATTTTTATTTATTTATTTATAAAATTTATTGGCCACCCATCTTACCACATTTTTTGGGGTGGAGATACAGATATATGTTTAATGTTAATATTACATTTGTGTACTTACAACATAAAACATAATAAATATATAAATGTATGTATTATTAAATTTATATCTTGCTTTTATTTTGTACTGTTTAAAACTGTATACTTATAGCTGTAGGTTTATTACTCCCCACCTATTAAATGAAATAGATTGACTGCACTGTTCTGCTGATGGAAAAATGTTTCAAATTTCTCTTTAAAGCAGGATTATTTTTATTTGTCAGAAGTATTTGGTTGAGTGTGTGTGTGTGTGTGTGTGTGAAGACTAATAAATCATAATGTGCATCAGTTAATTGTGGTAACTTTATGTAAAAGACAGATATCTTATCTTAGAACAGTTCTGAATGATTTAAACCACAGATTTAAATTTTATTTTGATAATTTAAATTAGGAAAAAACTGTTGCAGTTTGCAAACTTCTGCTCCCACCTAAAATTTTAGAGTGCTTCTAAAGACTAAACAATTGTTCATATTATTTTTTTAAAAAAATTACCTCAGATAAAAAATGTGAAACAGTACCCCACTTTATTTAACATTATTACAAAGATTGGGGTTGGGAAGAAATTCCAAGAACCTGTTAGACTTGGCAAGCTTTGGTATTATGAGGCATGATGTTTTAATCTTTAATCAGTAGTACAAGAATTGTAATAAGAATTGTAGAATTATGATGATTAACTCAAATTCCAGGTTAATAATGAAAAAAAATGCATTTTAGTGGGGACAGACCTTTAAAAACTTGTAAAAGCTGCTACTATGGCTCATTAAATATAAAATCTCAACCAAAATCCCTGATCTGAGTGCTCCAAATAAGCCAGAAATTGTGGACAACAGCAAATCATGAGTTATGACCCCAGCTTGTTAGAACATTTTGGGGTTCTTGTCCAAATTTAAAACTAATCAGAGATGGATAATGTATCTATTTCCAGGTGCTTCAAAATTTCTATTTGTATTAGCCTAACAAACAATATTTGTGACGATAATGAAAAGAATTGAAATAAAGAACATCTGAAGAATGATTGCATATAATTCCCATTCCTAAAGTGATCAACTGGGAGGGAAAAGAATCACTGTCTACCATTTCTTCTGGCAACAGAAGCTGAGCAGGAGTAAATAATTGCACCAAGATGCAAATAACTCATGTCTAATTTGGATTAATGTAATGTGTAAACCTGGTAAAAAGAGGACACAGATGGATGGAACAGCAGCCAGGCAGACTCTACACAAACAACACAGCTCAATTAGAAGAAAAACAGAGAGTAAGAAGATAAAAAGATGCATTTTCCAAACAATAGCTTTTATTTTACATAATTATTTGCCTGTTTCTTTATTGGTTGCAATTACTATTAGAAATATTGGAGTATCATGTTCATAAGGAATTATATTCAAATGATAGAGCAATTTATTATTATCTTTTATGACTTGCTGTATAAATACATAATTAAAGTTCTTGGTTTCATTGTAGTATCACAACCCATTGTTTGGTAGAGTATGTACAATATAATGATTGTATCATTGCTGTTTGTTCATACTGAAAGATACATTAATAAGGTTTCTTAGATCTAGCACTGGAGAACAGAAAGCCGGGGTGCTAGATGGCTACACAGTTCCAACCAATCTGAATATCTGGAAAAGAAATGAGAGCAAGTCTATGAATTAATTCCTTTCTAATCAAGGGTGCTTTTGATCTTGTATAGATTTCAGTTTAAAATTTTGCAGTGAAACAGATCAGTAGAATTACTTCATATTCATATTATACCAAATCTGAGGAAAACAGCTTTATAATGTCGATTATATTTATCTGTAGCCAGTATTTTATCATTTCTTTAACCCCAAGCAAAAGATGCAATAAGATGTATTATGTTTAGATATACAGGTAGTCCTTGATTGTGAGCACAATTTTCAATGCTAAACAAGGCAGTTGCTGAATTGCCCCAATTCAACAACTCTTTTTTGCCATGTTGTTAAGTGAATCATGTGGTTGTTAAGCAAATCCAGCTTTCCACATTGATTTGCTTCTCAAAAGTTGACTGGGAAGGACACAAATAGCAAGGACATGACACTGCAACCATTGTAAATACATCTAAGGTGCCAGATGCTCACATTTTTATCATGTGATTGGGGATGCTGTGACAGCTATAAATGCAAGGACTGGTTGTAAAACACTTTTTTCAGTGCCACTGTAACTTCGAACAGTTGCTAAATCAATGTTTGTAAGTCAAGAACTCCCTGTAAGAAAGAATACACTGTAAATATAATTTAAATTATGGGTAAAAACACCTGGAAATCAGTACAACTTAATATGGGGAGACCACCTTAATGAGCAAACAAAAAAGTTTGGAGTAATTCATCAAACAGTCAGATGCCTTAGTAATAAAATGGAGCATTGAGTATTGAGTATTTGTCCTAAATCTTTTGCTTTAGTAGCAAGAATCCCCAAATGGATGAAATACCTTGCTCCAGATAATTAGCATATGGCAGCAACTGTATTGTAAAACATTAATACTGCAACATTTTGATTGTAGCAGAGTCCAGACAGTTTTCATTGTACAACTAATAAAAATATTGAATGTTGAGAGAATCCCTCAAATATATAGAAAGAGGTGCCTCTCAAACCAGGATTTGTAGCATTTGTAAATTTGTAGCCAAACCTATATTCCATGCTAAAAATGGTAATGAAAAATAAACCAGTGTGGTCAGCCAATTTTCAAAAGTTAAAGGCTGACAGCTAGCCACATCTGGAATATTGCATTCTATCCTAATGCTATAGCACCTTCTCTGCTGTATTGTAATCATCTGTTGTTTATAGGATAAATAGATGCATCTGATTAGTTGTTACAAACAGGATGCTGGACTGGACTCAAGAAGACATTTTAAAATATTTTTATGTTCTTTCTGGTGCTAGAAATTGGAATCTAAATGCTTAAAAGAAAAAAATGTGTCTAATTAGCACATAATATTTCAATTATATGTTCTCCTCACTCAGAAAAGGAAAGAGGTTTATTAGTTATCCCACAGATGCTTTTTCAGGAGGCAACTGGACTTTCTTGTTTTTCTTTGAAGACCTTTCACTTCTCATCCAAAAAGTTTCTTCAGCTCTAACTGGATGGTGGGGAATGGAAAGATGTCTGTCTATTTGGGACCATAATGTAAAATTTCTGGTGTAGTAAATACAATCTGTACCAGCAGTTAAATGGTGAATGCTGCATTAAAAACAGCAATCCAGAGTTCCCTTCAGGCTACCCACCAAAAATATTCCAAGCTATCCACTTCCTGTGAGAGCTCTAAACAATTCCAAAGCCCAAAGCCTGAAGACTGTATGGCATATGATAAAAATCTTCCACGCAAGACTTTTAGCCATACTCAGCCATCATACATTCTAAGAAGTTTGGATAAGTAGTTGTGAGTACATCATCAGCATATAATTTTAGCTATAATTTTGATTTGTCTTGCCCCTTTCATTATAATACATAGAAGTCATAGAGCACTGGTTCAGTATCAGATATTGGCATAATAAAAGCAAGACACAAGTGACCACACAGAGTTTATCTGAAAAGAAAGGCAATATCTGTAGAAAACAGTAGAGCTTAACATCAATAGATCTATTAACAACCTGGTAATTTAATTTTCAAAAAGCTATATACATATTTATGGCTGAATCTAAAAATCTTATTCTTTTTCAACCAAATTTCAAATCTCAGTTCTAGATTTTACTGTGCTGTGTGTCTATGGAACAAGTGAATGTATTGGTTGCCATCCAATAACCATGACAACTTCATCTCCTAGGCGATATGAAAAAGGAAGAAAAGACAAAGGCTGAATTATTCCATAAATGCATAGCGAGCTTGTGTCAAGCAACAGAGAATCCTTTTTGATATTTTTAATTGAGAAGAGAGACAATTTACTATGGTAAGAGATACAGCTCTTACTGTCATTTTTACTGTTGATTCAGATTGCAAGGCCCTTTTGGCAATACCTAATATGAAAGCATGATTCTCTCATCTTATTCCAATTTGAGAGAACCAGAGTGGGTAAAACTAGAGCACACATTTTGCCCTAATGTTTGTATCTTTACTTTTATTATGATATTCCCTATAAATGGACGTTTATAAGAAGCAGACCAAGATTAACTAAAAAAGGACATTAGTTTAAAAGAATGATCAATAGCGTGCCCATTTTATTGTAACAGCTTTCGAGCTGATCTTTTAATAAGATACTTTATCAAAGAAATAAAGATGTTTTCAATCTGAGCTTGGCTCCAAGCAATTCTTCCCAGAGAGACTGAAACTTGGAAATGGAGAAATATAAAGTGAGGGTTAAGAATATTCTTTATCTAAAACCATTTAACACTATAAGATTAAGCAAACATAAGTTTATCCAAATAGTTGAAACAAGTCCTATTTGCCCAAGGTCTTGTTTTCAACTTTATTGTCATTTTTCTTCTTTTCTTTTTGATACAGATAATTTGGCACCAATCAACAAGATAACTACTGATAACTTTGGATTTCAAGGTTAATATTGGAGGACTGCAGTAACAATGTAAATAAAAATAATATCAGGAATATTTAAAAGAGGCAGTGATAAGAAAACTTCTAAAGAAGCCAAATCTGGACCCAGAGAATGAAAACTACTATAGGCCAGAGACCAAATTTCCCCTCCTAGGTAAGGTGCTTGAGTGGATAGTGGCTTCAGGCACACTTTAGAACCATTATTTTAGGCCTGGCTATGAAACAGGAACTGCCTTGACTGGTCTGTGGATAACCCATGTTCGAAATGCTGTTGGTCCTCTTGAACTTCTCAGCAGTTTTAATAGTGGCTATTGTATTATCCTGGATAGACATTCAGATGGGATGCTAGGGCACTGTCCTATGTTGGTTTCACTCCTACTTGGATGGCTATTTCCAGAAGGTGGTATGGGGGAATTATCTTTCTGCCTCATGACAATATCCCCTATACCCGGGGTCCCCAACCCAGGTCCATGGACCAGTACCAGGCTGCGGCATGCCAGCAACCAGTCCACACAAACAAGCAAAGCCCCATCCGCAAGATGCAGGCAGCACACAAAAAACACACTCTCCAGTCCACGGAAAAACCTCTCTCCATGAAACCGGTCCTGGCACCCAAAAGCTTGGGGACTTCTGCCCTATACTCTTTAACATCTACATGAAACTGCAGAGAAAATACATTCAGGAAAGTGTACTGTGGTGCCATCAATATGCAGATGACACCCAGCTCTACTTCTCATTTTCATCTAAAGAGAGGTGGGAGGCATTTGGAGTTCTGAAGCAATGCTCAGGATGGCCAGGGACCAGATGAAGGCCAATAAACCAAGACCCAATCCAGAAAAGACATACTATTTGTAGGTGGTGAATCTATCCAGTTAATCATATAGTTACTGCCTGGGAAGTCAGATAGCTTAAAGGATCAGGTTTGCAATTTGGGAGCATTTCTATATCCATTACTGTCATTAGAAGCCCAGGTATCCTCAGTGGCATGGAGTTGTCTTTTATCTGCTTTTATCTTCAACAAGAAGATGTATTAGTGGAGCCAGAGAAAATTGCCTAGAAAGCATTGAAGGATGTTGTTAAGAATTTTCTTGGCAGCTATAGAACACCAAACTACATTCAGCAGATTGACAAACTTCTCAGAGCATACAAGACCATGATGTGCAACATGTCACCGAAGATTCATTTTCTGCATTCAAACTTAAGAGGTCTTTCCCAAAAATCTAGGTGCAGTCAGTGACAGACATGGTGAAAGTTTTCACCCGGACATTGTCACAATGGAACATTTCTCATATCTTTCAAGATTCCTATGTGATACAATCATTATGAAATTATATTTGTATTCTATTTGAAGATATCTATCATAATCATCCCCCAAAAAATCAGAAAGCAAAACTTTTGAAAACAAATGCTGTCCAGGGAATTCAAAGCAGCTGCAGCTGTAATGGGCATCCTCAGGCCCCATTTGCCATAGGCTTCACAATGTGCTGAACTTCTGCAATGTCATGGCATTCTTGGAATGTAAAAATGGTGGTTTGGTCAGAGTGGCCCCAAGCCTATACCTTCACAAGAGTGGTGGAAGATGCAATGGAATACCAGTACTCTCTCTTACTTGGCATTAGTTTAATATGGGTAGTGTTATGTCCTGAGCCTGTGCAAGCAGGCTCGGGGCATTGCAAACGGTTCCGGCAGGTGCAGGCTGCCCGGGACCAGACAGGCTGTCGCCAGTACTTGTGCGCATGCGCAAGTACTGGCGCGCCAAAAGTTACAGATTTACCCGGGGATGGCCTATATAAGAGGCCAGGAGTTTGGGCGTTGTTGGCGTCTTCTAACTGTAAGCTGAAAACATGAATAAAGAAGTTTCCTGAGAACTACAACTGCTTCTTGTGTCTTGCCATTTCACGAAGGACTCAACCCTGGCGACGAGGATGGGATTGCCTTATATCAACAAAAAGGTGTAAGCTTACCCGAGTGAGTCCTGAGCGGCAGGAACGGCGTTGACTCAGCAGCTACCCGCCAATCCAGCGTGCATTCGGGGGTAGGCTGGCTGATAGACCCTTCCTGATACAAAAATGGCAAAGATTGGAAGGCTTTCGGAATTCGACGTCTCACATCCAGAGAGGTGGGAGTCCTACGCAGCCAGGGTGGAAAACTACCTCAAAGTGAACCAAGTGAGGGAAGAAAGTTTGAAGGCTGCCACCCTGCTGTGCGTTTGCAGTCAAGATGCATTCGAAATCGCTGAGAACCTTGCAGCACCTGTTCCTTTAGACTCTGTCAGCTATGCAGATCTAAAAAAGCTACTGAAGGACCACTTCCAGCCTAAGATGTCCGTCATCGCGTGGCGCCACACCTTCGAGCAGAGGGATCAAAGACCCGGAGAATTGGCCAAGGAGTACATCGCCGCACTGAGGAAAGCCGCCAAACATTGCGAGTTCAAGGACCTCGAAGAACAACTGAGGGACCAGTTTGTATGCGGGCTAAGGCATCGAGAGTTGCAACAAAGACTTTTCGCCAAGGAGGACTTGTCTTTCCAAGATGCCTTGAGAGAGGTCACCGCAGAAGAAGCAGCGGGCGGCGCCATCAAGAACATGCGGCCGATCAGAAACAGTCCAGATGCTGCATCCGTGCACCAGGAAGAAGTCCAAAGAAACTCCGAGGAGGATCCGGACGAGGAAGTGGACCGTCTCCACCCCACAAAGGAAGGAAAACCAAGAGGAAGCTCTTCAGCTCTCCCCAAGTGCATCGGTTGTGGAGGTCGCCACAAGAGAACCGACTGCAAGTTCCGCTCCGCTATCTGCCGGGCGTGCGGAAAACAAGGACACATTGCAGCTGTGTGCCTGGGCCGTCAGAAGGTACAACCTCAGGAAGAATTGCGCCTGAAAGGTACCAGGGTCCCCAGTCAGAATAGGGTGGGGTTTTGCGCTTCGTGAAGAAGCATCTATAGGACAGGCACACACAAGCCAATTAAGAAAAAGCTGTCACTTAAGGTGAAGCTACAAAGGGTTCCATTTGCTATGGAACTGCATATGGGGTCTGCCCTTTCAATCATTTCCATGCAAACGTTTAGGAAGATTTGTTCCGGTAGTGGAACTCAGGCCAAGCTGAGGCCTTCTGATATTGTGTTAACAGACTTTCAAAACTCCAGAGTGTGTGTTAAGGGGGAAGCCACCCTTAATGTACAGTATAAGGATTTTGAAGGTCCACTAGACATATTAGTAGTAGGGGGTGAACGAACGACTCTCATAGGACTCGATTGGTTTGAGGCCTTGGGAATACACGTCACAGGGCTCAACAGCCTACAAACACTCGACCTACAGGAAGTCTGCAAAGAATTTTCAGATGTTTTCAGCCCCCAGCTGGGCACGTTCAAAGGACCTCCTGTGTCCTTAAAGCTAGACCCCACTGTCACTCCCATTAGAATTAAAGCAAGAAGGGTCCCTTTTGCTTTAAAGACTAAAATTGACACTGAGTTGGATAAACTGATCCAACAAGGAATTCTGGAACCTGTTGACTCCAGTCCCTAGGAAACCCCCATTGTCACGCCGCTCAAAGCAAATGGGGACATTTGCATCTGTGCTGATTACAAATGCACTCTGAATAAGGCATTGCAGCAACATGCCTATCCTGTTCCTGTGGTCAGTCATATTCTGGCCTCCCTCAAGGAGGGGCGTGTTTTTGCAAAGCTTGACCTAGCTCAAGCATATCAACAGCTGCCTGTTGATGATGATGCTGCTATAGCTCAGACTATTGTGACCCACAGAGGGGCTTTCAAGGTAAAGAGACTTCAATTTGGAATAAATGTCGCTCCTGGGATTTTCCAAAGCGTAATGGAAAACACACTACAGGGTATACCAGGGGTTTGCCCCTATTTTGATGATGTCTTAATTGCAGGAGACTCCACACACATTCTAGCTGAAAGGTTAAGGGCTGTCCTGTTAAGGTTCAGGAAAACGGGACTCAAACTCAAGAAAGACAAATGTAACATTGGGGTGCTTTCCACAGAGTTTCTGGGGTTCAAAATTGATGCTGCTGGGATTCACCCTGCTGAATCCAAACTAAAAGCCATTATGCAAGCCCCTAGGCCAAAGTCTAAGGCCGAACTACAGGCTTTCCTGGGCCTTCTGAATTTCTACAATTCCTTTCTCCCACATAAGGCTAGTGTAGCTGAGCCTCTTCACAGGCTATTAGATAAACAGGCAGTGTGGCAGTCGTCACAAACACATGAGGCAAGTTTCAATGAGGTCAAAGCCTTGCTCACTTCTAACAGTGTACTTGCACACTTCAATGAGTCCCTTCTTGTGTGCATCGTTTGTGATGCTTCCCCTTATGAGGTAGGAGCTGTACTGAGCCACCTCAGGTCTGATGGAACTCAGGTTCCTGTTGCATATTACTCCAGGACATTGTCTTCAGCTGAGCGCAACTATGCTCAAATAGACAGGGAGGCCTTAGCTGTTGTTGCTGGAATTAAAAAATTCCATGATTTTTTGTATGGCAGGCATTTCACGGTCTTCAATGACCATAAGCCTCTGCTGGGACTGTTTACCACACATAAACAAACTCCCCAAATCATTTCCCCTAGAATGCTTAGGTGGTCTATCTTTTTGTCTGCATATGATTTTTCCCTACTTCACAAGCCTGGGAAGGAAATGGGCCATGCTGATGGCCTCAGTAGATTACCCCTGCCGGTAATAGAAGCTGACCCTGCGCCAGCTATCAATATTCTCTCTATCCAAACCTTGTCCGAGTCTCCCCTGAATGCCTGGGATGTAGCCGATGAATCGGGCACAGATCACACACTTTCACGTGTCCTTTCTTGGGTTTTGTCTGGATGGCCTGAGCACTGTCCTAGTCCTGAGTTTCAGAGTTTCTGGTCTAAACGGAACGAGTTGTCCACCTCTCAGGGTTGTCTGCTTTGGGGAAGCAGAGTTGTCATTCCCTCCTCAATGAGGACTAGGGTCTTAGGTTCCCTCCACGAGGTTCATCCTGGCATTGTACGAATGAAGGCTCTTGCGCACAGCCACTTGTGGTGGCCTGGCCTAGACAAAGACATTGAAGCTAAGGTGCATGCATGCCACTTTTGTCAATGCTCACGCCCTGAAATGCCCCAAGCTCCTGTGCATAGATGGGTGGAAACCCAATCTCCATGGTCTAGGGTGC